AAGCTTAACATTTTTTAAAAGTCAAAATCTTTAACGTCAAATAATTTGTCAAAACTAGGTACTGAGCCGATAGAACTTTATAATTCTAAGGTAGCTATTCTGCCAAAAACAGTTGCTCAACTTAGGAAGCCCAAAGCTGTGCATTTGGTTGTTTATGTTCTATTTTCCTCTGCAGTTACACTAAAGGTGAAAGGAGAACATTTTAGAGAAGAATAATTCCGTCGATCGCTGTCAGGTTTCGAAGCTGGGCCTATTTCAGTGAGAGGCGAACAAAGTAACTTCTAGACCACGAGAGCCCCGCGTTGGTTTAATTTTAAAGAAAAAGTAAAATAATAAAACGGTTACTCATAACAAATGTCTGATATTCTGAATTTAATGGAAAAAAAATATTTGAACAGCCAGGCCTTACAACAGCTTAAAAAATATACGAAAGATCTAATTTTAGAAAATTATACATCTTGAAATGGATGAGTCAGGGAACACATTTTCATTTACAAAGATCTTAAACCTAAATACAGTAACAATTTTTAAAAAGCAGTACTACACTCCCCCCCCCCCCCCAAAAAAAAAAAAAAAAAAAAACTACAACAACCACCCCCCCAAAAAAAACAAAACAACAACAAACTAAACAAAACAAAAATCAGAGGCTTTCTGCATGGTACCCTGTGGAAATGAGAAGAGGACATTTTAATCTGCAAGTATGTAAGCTTACTAGGGGACCCCAAAAAACATTTCCCTCGGAGACATCCATGATCCATAAAAACCCGCGGGTAAAGTTTTTTTTGGGATCAATAGGTAGGCCCCCCTACATGATTTTGCTGGAGGTTCTTAAGCAGTGCCTGTCAACCTTTTTTTTTTTCGGTTTTACAAATACCTGTCACTCCGATGATCCCAGGAGCGCCCACCCCCAAAAAAATAATTACCAAATCACCCACCAGTGGACAATGCCGCACAGGTAGGCAAGCACTGTTCATAAGCTTTAATTAACGTCTATGCATATATGTCCAAGGTGCCCTCTTTCTGATTGTAGGCCTACTTCTTTCAAATTCTTTCGAGATCAAATAAATTAAGGAAATTCGCCAGTTTGCCTCCCAGTAGCAAACGTTTAAAAAAAGAATCCTGTTAATCTAAATTCTTTGCAGGATCTTTCTTGGAATTCCTAGCAGGAGCAGGGAAACTGCCAAACAAAT